GTCAATGTTAAAATAAAACGAGAGGGATTTTATCAATTAAAAAGGTCAGGCATGAAATATAATAAATTTCTTCCAATAAATTTTAAAAAACGGAATTATAAAGAGTAAAATCGGAATTCAGAATTAGACTCAGAAAATCGGAATGATTCCGACAAAATCGGAATAGTTGGCATGTATGTTATTAGGACAGAAAAAACTGATATTCCAAATTTTAGCTTGATCCGACTAACGGTTCCTGAGATACGGCCTTCTCAATTTAGGGGGTTTGGGCCAAAATGGGCGTGGTCGTCATTATACAAATGACCATTACTCAGTAACCAATTGGTCAAAATTACTGAAATAAGTATTTATGGAATGGGAATTCCACAAGGATTCCAAAAATGCCCTAATTGTTGACATGGGAGAATTTTAAAGCTACTACACCGGCAAAAATGACATCGCGAAAATTTCAAGGATGTGCAAAGACTGGGTCATTGATGATGAAAATAGTTTGAGAAGCTAAAAAGTACATGTAATATATAATCAGACTGATGAAAAGAGGATGATTTAGGAAGTCTGCAGCAGGTTACTATGTATCATCAGAACTTATCCAAGAACATAATTCTGCTTTTAGTGCAAAAACACTGATTTTCAGCCTCATGTGTGGATATTTGACATGATTTAACAGGCTTATTAAAGATATTATACCTCCATTTTTTTTGATATTGTGTAGAAAACATGTTGGGCTTATTCTTTCACGAACGTTAAACTCAAGGTCACATGTTCCACAAGGTCACATTCAAGGTCAAATTCAAACTCAATGGGACTTCACACTTCAAAATTCACCCATGTCAAAAGTTGGGGCATTCCGCAAGGATTCCCATTCTAGAAATACTTGTTTCAGCAATTTTGACCAATTGGTTACCGAGTAATGGTCATTTAAATAATGACGACCACGCCCATTTTGGCCGAAATACCCAAAATTGAGACGGCTGTATCTCAGGAACCGTTAGTCGGATCAAGCTAAAATTTGAAATATCAGTTTTTTCGGCCCAAATAAGCCTATACACCAAATTTCAGCTAAATCAAAGGGGGTACGGTTTAAATTTTACAAAATGTTGGGTGATTTGACACGGAATGACCCTTCAATCCGATACATACCAATATCGAAAGCAGCCGAGATCTTTTGGAGATAAACCCATACTTCAAGTTTCGTCAAAATCATTTAAGAATTGTGACCACTAGAGTGTCCACAAACAAATTGTGGACGGACGTCCAGACATCCTGACGGACAGGGGCGACAGCATAATACGTCCACATGAAAATGTGGGCGTATAAAAATCATCGTTTTATATAACGTTTCGTCAGTAAAAATACTAACTTCTTCAGGGATGAAGAACTAAATATACCAGCGGCTGCCAGGCAGGATACGCCCACATTTTCGAGAATTGGATAGAGAACAAGCTAAAAAGAAAGCTATTTTTCGTACAATCAGGGGCCATAATTCAGGAAGTTATGGTCCAATATGCACAAATATCGAAAGGAACCGAGATCTTTGGATTATAAACTTACATTTCAAGTTTCAACCAAATCGGATAAAAATTGTGACCTCTATAGGGTCCACAACCTTGATATACCATATTTTTACGCTAATTGAGAACGAACGGCGGCCATTTTGTCTGTCAATTTTGGGGAGATTTTCACAAAATTCAAACTCAACTGTCCTTAGGGTGTAACGGTGATATAATAATACGTTTTTTTAAATCGGATAAAAATTATGACCTCTATAGGGTCCACAAGCTAAAAACGCGATTTTTCGTACAATCAGGGGCCATAATTCAGGAAGTTACAGTCCGATATTGGCGAATATCAAAAGGAACCTTGATATACCATATTTTAACGCTATTTGAGAACGAACGGCGGTCATTTTGATGTCAATTTTGGGCCGAAATTCGAACTCGGCCATCCTTAGGGTGTAACGGTGATATAATAAAACGGTTTTTTAAATCGGATAAAAATTATGACCTCTATAGGGTCCACAAGCTAAAAACGCGATTTTTCGTACAATCTGGGGCCATAATTCCGGAAGTTACGGTCCGATATGCACGAATATCGAAAGGAACCGAGATCTTTGGGTTATAATTGTGACCTCTATAGGGTCCACAAGCTAAAAACGTGATTTTTCGTACAAACAGGGGCCATAATCCATGAAGTTTCGATCCGATACATGCCAATATCGAAAGCAGCCGAGATATTTTGGAGATAAACCTATATTTCAAGTTTCGTCAAAATCGGATAAGAATTGTGACCTGTAGAGTGTCCACAAACAATTGTGGACGGACGGACAGGGGCGACGGCATAATACGTCCACATGAAAATGTGGGCGTATAAAAATTGTGACCTCTATCGTGTCCACAAGCTAAAAACGTGATTTTTCGTACAAACAGGGGCCATAATCCATGAAGTTTCGATCCGATACATGCCAATATCGAAAGCAGCCGAGATATTTTGGAGATAAACCTATATTTCAAGTTTCGTCAAAATCGGATAAGAATTGTGACCTGTAGAGTGTCCACAAACAATTGTGGATGGACGGACAGGGGCGACGGCATAATACGTCCACATGAAAATGTGGGTGTATAAAAATGACTGGAAGTCATTTATGACATCATAGGAAGTTATGACATCATAGGAAGTTATGACATCGTGGGAATAAGGATGTCATAGATACATAACATGAAAGGTTAGCTTAACTAAAACTTAGGTAAAATTTTACAAGTAAGGAAAAATTATGCATGATTATGAATGATTTTGAAACCCCCTGGATTTAACTCATTTAAACCGTTAGGCCAAACTGAATTAAGTCTATGAATCCACAGACTTCCTGCTGTGTTCAATTTTTTCTGATCTTTATCAGGAATTTTTTGTACTATGGTACACACGAAATCATGACTCGGTATATTACCAGCGGCTGCCAGGCAGGATACGCCCACATTTTAGAGAGATGGATAGAGAACAAGCTAACAAGAAAGTGATTTTTCCTACAATCAAGGGCCATAATTCAGGAAATTACAATTCGATATGCGCATATATCGAAAGGAACTGAGATCTTTGTGTTATAAACTTACATTTCAAGTTTCAACAAAATCGGATAAAAATTGTGACCTCTATAGGGTCCACAAGCTAAAAACGTGATTTTTCGTACAAACAGGGATCATAATTTATGAAGTTTCGATCCGATACATGCCAATATCGAAAGCAAACCTATATTTCAAGTTTCGTCGAAATCGGATAAGAATTGTGACCTGTAGAGAGTCCACAAACAATTGTGGACGGACGGACGTCCGGACGGACAGGGGCGACGGCATAATACGTCCACATGAAAATGTGGGCGTATAAAAATGGGAGGCTACCTGGGGAGAATGGCCAGGTTTTTTAAGCTTAAAATTACTTCTGTGCTTATTAAGTCGAGTGCTGAAAGGAGTAATGGTTTGGCCTACATATTGCATACTACAGGTTTTAAATGTTAAACAATATACAACATAAGAACTGGCACAGTTGACAGAGTCTCTAATCTTGAATGATTTCATGTCTTTACTGGTTACTTCTTGATTATTACACATAGTCTCGCATGATTTGCATAATTTTCGTAAACAAGGTTGACATCCATATGAAATTTTGTCCATAATATGCTTATTACTAGTGTCAGAAGTTCTCAACTTAATTTCTTTCAAGATATTACCAATAGTGTGGTTCTTTCTCTCTATATTCAGAGTTTCATCATCACTCTCACTTAATTAGAGCTAAATTATCGTGTCCAAAAGCATCAACCAATCAAATTGCTTATCTCTGCTTACCCTAAGCAAAAAATGCTCATCTTCGAATTCCATCAAGGCATTGGCCTAATAAACACCTACACCAAATTTGAACATTCTAGCTCAATTAGAAGGAGAGTGTATTCCAAAGTCTCAGCCAATCAAATTGCTTATCGCTCTGCTTACCCCGAGCAGAAAATGCTCATTATCGAACTTCGTCAAGGTATTGATGTAATGAAACTATACACCAAGTTTCATCACTCTTACTTAGAACTAAAGTTATCGTGTCCCAAAGCATCAACCAATCAAATTGCTTATCTCTGCTTAACCTAAGCAGAAAATGCTCATCTTCGAACTCCATAAAGGCATTGACCTGATAAATACCTACACCAAGTTTGAACATTCTAGCTCAATTAGAAGGAGAGTTATTGTATTCCAAAGTCTCAGTCTATCGGTCTGCTTACCCCGAGCAGAAAATGCTCATTATCGAACTTAGTCAAGGTATTGATGTAATGAAACTATACACTAATTTTTATCACTCTTACTTAGAACTAAAGTTATCGTGTGCCAAAGCATCAACCAATCAAATTGCTTATCTCTGCTTGGGAGTCACGGTGGCTAGGTGGGTAAGGCGCTGGCTCGCTAGCCTGGAGGTCGGGTGTGCGATCCCTGCATTGGCCGAGAAAGTTCATCCTGATTTTCCGACGTGGTTTCCCCTTGTCAGTGATGCAGGATGAGACGAAAAACTGAGATCCCGTGTAAACCTTGGAATGCACGTAAAAGATTCCTTGGCAGTTGGAATTCGATATAAGAGTAGGCGATAGTGCCGCTGCCCGGGCAAAATTTCCCTCATAGCACACTGTATGGCGTATGCCCGTCTTCATTAGCCCAGTATAGGAGCAGAACAGTAGGACGTTAAACCCCATTTCATTTCATTTATCTCTGCTTAACCTAAGCAGAAAATGCTCATCTTCGAACTCCATCAAGGCATTGACCTGATAAACACCTATTCCAAGTTTGAACATTCTAGCTCAATTAGAAAGAGAGTTATTGTGTCCCAAAAAGTGTGACGGATGGACAGACGGATGAACTCAATTTAATAGTCCCCTGCTTTCTTCGAAAGGCGGAGGAAAAAAAACATGAGTGGAATCCCTGTGTTTATATCCATTCTCTTATGTATAGTATAATGATTAAACGACAATATACCTTAGCATTATGTTTATAACCATTCTTTATAGTATAATGTTCTTCTACATATTGTTTAGTTTGTTCTATCATAGTTCTACCAAATGCTGTTACACTCTAAAAATAAATTACTATAAAAGTACAAAATTCAATTACCGTAACCAACCAGCGGCTGCCAGGCAGGATACGCCCACATTTTCGAGAGATGGATAGAAAACAAGCTAAAACGAAAGTGATTTTTCCTACAATCAAGGGCCATAATTCAGGAAATTACAATTCGATATGCGCAAATATCGAAAGGAACCAAGATCTTTGAGTTATAAACTTACATTTCAAGTTTCAACAAAATCGGATAAAAATTGTGACCTCTATTGGGTCCACAACCTTGATATACCATGTTTTTACGCAATTTGAGAACGAGGGGTGGCCATTTTGTCTGTCAGTTTTGGGCCGATTTTCACGAAATTTGAACTCAGTCGTCCTTAGGGTGTAACGGGGATATAATAATACGTTTTTTTAAATCGGATAAAAATTATGACCTCTATAGGGTCCACAAGCTAAAAACGTGATTTTTCATACAATCAGGGGCCATAATTCAGTAAGTTAAGGTCCGATATGCGCGAATATCGAAAGGAACCAAGATCTTTGGGTTATAAACTTACATTTCAAGTTTCAACAAAATCGGATAAAAATTGTAACCTCTGATATACCATATTTTTACGCTATTTGAGAACGAAGGGCGGCCATTTTATCTGTCAGTTTTTGGCCGATTTTCACAAAATTTGAACTCAGTCGTCCTTAGGGTGTAACGGTGATATAATAATATGATTTTTTAAATAGGATAATAATTATGACCTCTATAGGGTCCACAAGCTAAAAACGTGATTTTTCGTACAATCAGGGGCCATAATTCAGGCAGTTACGGTCCCATATGTGCGAATATCAAAAGGAAACGAGATCTTTGGGTTATAAACTTACATTTCAAGTTTCAACAAAATCGGAAAATTGTGACCTCTATAGGGTCCACAACCTTGATATACCATATTTTTACGCTATTTGAGAACGAACGGCGGCCATTTTGTCTGTCAGTTTTGGGCCGATTTTCACGAAATTCAAACTCAGCCGTCCTTAGGGTGTAACGGTTATATATTAACACGGTTTTTTAAATCGGATAAAAATTATGACCTCTATAGGGTCCACAAGCCAAAAAACGCGTTTTTGCGTACAATCAGGGACCATAATTCATGAAGTTACAGTCCAATATGCGCGAATATCTAAAGGAACCAAGATCTTTGTGTTATAAACTTACATTTCAAGTTTCAACAAAATCGGATAAAAATTGTGACCTCTATAGGGTCCACAAACTTGATATACCATATTTTTACGCTATTTGAGAACGAACGGCGGCCATTTTGTCTGTCAGTTTTGGGCCGATTTTCACGAAATTCGAACTCAGCCGTCCTTAGGGTGTAACGGTTATATATTAACACGGTTTTTTAAATCGGATAAAAATTATGACCTCTATAGGGTCCACAAGCCAAAAAACGCGTTTTTGCGTACAATCAGGGACCATAATTCATGAAGTTACGGTCCGATATGCGCGAATATCTAAAGGAACCAAGATCTTTGTGTTATAAACTTACATTTCAAGTTTCAACAAAATCGGATAAAAATTGTGACCTCTATAGGGTCCACAAACTTGATATACCATATTTTTACGCTATTTGAGAACGAACGGCGGCCATTTTGTCTGTCAGTTTTGGGCCGATTTTCACGAAATTCGAACTCAGCCGTCCTTAGGGTGTAACGGTTATATATTAACACGGTTTTTTAAATCGGATAAAAATTATGACCTCTATAGGGTCCACAAGCCAAAAAACGCGTTTTTGCGTACAATCAGGGACCATAATTCATGAAGTTACGGTCCGATATGCGCGAATATCGAAAGGAATCAAGATCTTTGTGTTATAAACTTACATTTCAAGTTTCAACAAAATCGGATAAAAATTGTGACCTCTATAGGGTCCACAACATGGGTTCCACGTCGGCCGTATATGCCGGTCGAGACCTACGGCTATGGAAAATGACCGTTCCTAGATCTGACCTAACGGTCATTTTGCACGCCGGAAAGAGGGTCTTTTTTAAAAAAAAAAAAAAATTTCAAACATGACTACGATCGACCTTCACTGTGTAACTATACAAGAATGTACGTCGCCTAGAAGCCAATCTCGTGATTGGTGTTATAGAGTTGTATATATAGTCGTCAACAGATTATACTGAGTGTTGTGTTGATAATTAATGATGAGTGTCTGGTAGTAGAGCAATAAATGTTAATTGATAAGTGGGAATCTAATCAACGGCGTGAAGCGGCCCATTGTTAATCATTCACGTATTGTCCACGTGTCCTAAGAATTTTCAACAACAAAGCCGTTTACCGCTATTACGGTCAGGCACAATGTAAACGAGGTTATTATGATCTTCGAAAAAGGGCAATTGATATGAAGTATTGCTCTTCGAATCCAACCAACTGTCAAATCAAATAAAAACAGCATAGAAATTACGTAAATCCTCAACAACCTACGTGTTGGAAGAAAAATGCATTTAAAAATAAAATGTTTATAGCGGTATTACGGCCTTGTGGAAATTGTTGAAATAAAATCTAAAGATTAGTTAACTTGCTTACCGAACAATTAAGAAAAATACGTATTCCAGTTCTATTGTTCAGCAATATTGATAATTCCACGTGTAGAAGAAATGTCATGTATATGGTTACTCTTATACACGACCATATTCTAGGGGGCGCTAGTGTCGCTAGCCGTGAAGTTAGTTATCCGTTAGTCATTTAATTATACATTATTAGGATTTACGTCACAATTCTGCGGCCTGCAATTCCGTAAGAGATGGTCTAAAACCAAAAAAATGTGAGATATATGCCATGGATAATTATATATTTATCTTCATTTCAAAGTTATTGTATTACAACTCAAAATTATCCAGGTCAGTGTGTTTTCTATAGAGCACGTGTTAATTACGTGTGAGCTACTGAAATGGTTTTTCTCCGGCCAATTCAACTATTTCGTTATTTAAGTAGCCAAAACGGAATATTTAATTATTAAATAATTATCATGAGCCTTACTAATATTTTATTTTTAAGTCAAATATATTTTTTTTGTGCACCCTATGGTGACAAAGTAGTATAGACACGTGAATTCACAATACCCTACCATGAATAAAAAACATGAAATATAAATTTACTTTGAAAAGTTTTCGTGCGTTATCAAAAATGACCGGCAGTGAAAATTTTGAAGTGGAAGCCCTGGTCCACAACCTTGATATACCATATTTGAGAACGAACGGCGGACATTTTGTCTGTCAGTTTTGGGTCGATTTTCACGAAATTCGAACTCAACCGTCCTTAGGGTTTAACGGTGATATAATAAAACGTTTTTTTAAATCGGATAAAAATTATGACCTCTATAGGGTCCACAAGCCAAAAAACGTGTTTTTACGTACAATCAGGGGCCATAATTCAGGAATTTACGGTCCGATATGCGCGAATATCGAAAGGAACCGAGATCTTTGGGTTATAAACTTACATTTCAAGTTTCAACAAAATCGGATAAAAATTGTGACCTCTACAGTGTTCACAAGCCAAAAAACGTGATTTTTCGTACAATCAGGGGCCATAATCCATGAAGTTACGGTCCGATAGATGCCAATATTGAAAGGAACCGAGATCTTAGGGTGATAAACCTATATTTCAAGTTTCATTGAAATCGGATAAAAACTGTTACCTGTAGACTGTTCACAAACAATTGTGGACGGACGGACGGACGGACGGACAGGGGCGACGACAATATACGTCCACATGAAAATGTGGGCGTATAAAAAACATTTCAATATACCCGGGCAGAGGTCGCAGTCACACAAAACTTGGTGTTTTTCACACATTTCTTTCAAATTAAACGCAAATATTGATGGACGCTGCGTAATTTACACACAGAAAACTTCCCCCGACGTGAGAATAATTAGATTATTCTATGTCGCAGTTTGTACACTACGTCATCAATTGATGTGCTCTACGCTGCATAAACACACTGCAACTGTACGTAGTCTCCGTAGGTTTTTACATTCAGTAAGCCGTCTATACATAGCTATTCTGAGACACCAACTATTTTGCCACACTGGAAGCAATAAAGCACATTTCATACAAGACTTTGGATTGGCTAAACACGATAAACTGTTTACATTCAGCCAATCAAATACTGGCTTTAATAGCGATAGTTTGCTCTTTAGACTTTACTTCGTGTCGAAGTGAAAGATTGATATGACCGTGCTGTCAGCCTTCAGTCGTCATCACTGATGTCGGTACAGTAAAAAAAATTGGGGGCAAGTAAACGTTGTCATTGTGTTAATGGTGCAGACTGCATCAGACTAAATGCAGTATCAATAAAATAAAGATGCTTAAAATAGGTTGTTCACATAACGATTTTATTTGCTTCTATTCAGTATTTTGAGAGGCTCTAAGTCACACAGATGTAGAGGGCAAAAACACAAAATTATGGAATATCTGCGTAGATGCACCATAATAACAACAAAGAAACATAACTATCATAAAACAAGCTGTTATCATATACGCCCACATTTTACAAGAGATGGACAGAGAACAAGCCAAAATAAAAGATAGGTTGCCAGGCAACGAAACATACGACCACAGCAGCTAAATTGTCTGGGCAGTCAACAAGAGATGTTGCATATTTTTACTTTTTTTTCAGTAATGAAACATTTATAATACCCTAAAATCTGATTAAGAGTAACAACTCATTAAGTAATTATCAGAAAACCATTAGAATTTGTTTGGATTTTATAAAGTTCTGCCCCATGCTAACGTTTAGTATACAAAACTTTTAATATCATGGATTTAGCTGTTCAAGTCATAAAAATTCATTGAAAATCAATATACTTTTTCGTCTCAAGACCTTAAACACTGTGTATCAATCTGAAGTCAATCGGATGATAACTTTAGCCTCTAGAGCGTCCATAAGATATTTCAAAGTGATCAAGAGCCATAACTTTGGCAGTTATTATTTGAAATCGTTGAAAATTATTATGATTCTTTGTCTCATGACCTCAAACACTGTGTATCAATTTAAAAAACAATCAGATATTAACTTTAGCCTCTACAGCATCCACAAGAATTTTTGAAGTGATCAAGGGCCATAACTCTGGAAGTAATTATCGAAAATCGCTGAAAATGAATAGACTTCTTTGTCTCATGACATTAAACAATGTGTATAAATTTAAAGTCAATCGGATATTAAATTTAGCCTCTAGAGCGTCCACAAGATTTTTCAAAGTGATCAAGGGCCATAACTCTGGCAGTAATTATTGGAAATCCTTGAAAATCAATAGGCGTCTTCGTCTCATGACTTTAAATACCATGCATCAATTAAAAGTCAACTGGATATTAAAACTTTAGTCTCTAGCGATTGGGGATGCCGGATGGACAGGGGTGACAAAAATATACGACTACATTTGAATGCGGGCGTATAAAATTTTGTTCATCTTTGAGGACATAATCACTTATGTTTGATTGACTTATTTTTCTAAACATATATTTCTTTCAATTATCTCACACATTGTCTATAGTATTTGGTTCAAATATTTTTTCCTTCAGTATTTTCCAAGAAAAACTGTTATTTATCTTAAATATAGTACCTGTGATATTTCTAGACATGGTAATTTACCAACTTGAGCACCAGTAAAACCATAAACAGAATTAGCACTAATCTTTAACGCTAACTGTCTTCCATCTAATACTTGTTTCTTAAATGGGTCTGTTTCTTCTTTTAAATCAGCTTTAGCTCTATTACACAATTAAAACATGAAATAGATATGAAGAAATTTTATAACTTTCAACAAAACTCACACCCAGAGAGAATAGGGCTTATTTCGTCACTAACAAAGTCTATGGGAAATGACAGTCAGAGAAATGGGGTTTAACGTCCACTCAACACAAACTAGATCATTTTGGGACTAACACACAGTTCAATTTTATTTTAATAACTCACTTGCGCGTACAGTAGAACTTGCTCGGGCGTGCACTCCTACTCAGCGAACACTTGCTTCAACGAGCACCAAAAAATCCCCCCCCCCCCCCCGAGCGATTTTTAAGTAATTTAACCTCTACTAAACCCGCACATGTTCAACGCGTGCAACGGGCATCACGATTAATTCCCCCGTAAAAATTCTACTGTTTCAACGGTCACTCCTCTAAGAATTCAACAAAACATCGCCCATTCAACGGCCATTGTTGAATGATACCATCTTGTCGTTCTTTCTTTGTAACACTCCCGCTAATCCCGTGAGTAGTAGTTTAGTGTCGGTCCGCGAGAAAACCATGCAGAAAGTGATAAGGTGGGGGTCGGCCAAATTCATTCTTACTCAGGTCATAAAGTCACCCCATCCCAACATGCAAAAAGCCAAAATGGCCGACCCCAAATATTAACCCCCTCTTAGATATGGTCCTATGTCGATTTTTAGCCATTTTTGGCGAATTTTCGGTGAAAATTTGTCATTTTTCAGCTATCAAATTCTACTAAAAGCATCAGGTTAGTGATTATGTCCGATTGTGGATGGATAGTGGGGGTAGGCCCCTAAAAACCCAACATGAAAGACCGACCCAATATCACAGTCTTTAGCCGCTGGGGGGCGTTTTCTAGATACCACTTTTCGCATAGTGAAATGTACCCAATCGTTGAGGGGCTATATCTCGTCTGCAGCAGGGGGTGGGTCGAAATCGGGGGTATGTATTTTGAGGCGAGTATATGTCCTAACAATATCAACAATAAAATCCACCGGCGCTAGTCTACAACATAGCGAATCTTTGATGAGAAGATTGCCGATTTCTGGATTTCTGACAATAAACTGATATTCACTGAAAGGATTCTAGGAGGCCTCAACACTTATAAAGTGCTCTAAATGCCCTATATATCACGGCATTTCGGATGAAAAATATTTCTAATGTACCGCCACCCGCTCTAGCAAAACAGACACGGTTGATTTTAGCTTGGTGTCCAACCTCAAATCCAAGATGGCTGCCATGGAGGAGAAATGCGATTTTTCTCAATATTTTGAGTCAAAATGTGGCATTTATGATGCGTATCCTGCAGAGAAAGATCACAAGCGGGTAAAAGACTGTAGGAAAGATATCAAAGATTATCTGGCGAGCATATATCAAATAGAAAAGTAAAAGCCGGTTGGGTTCTGAAACATTTTGGGCGAATTTTCGGTGAAAATTTGTCATATTTCAGCTATGAAATTCTACTAAAAGCATCAGGTTAGTGATTATGTCCGATTGTGGGTGGATAGTGGGGGTCGGCCCCTTAAAACCCAACATGAAAGACCGACCCAATGTTACAGTCTTTAGCCGCTGGGGGGCGTTTTCTGTATACCACTTTTCGCATAGTGAAATGTACCCAATCTTTGAGGTGCTATATCTCGTCTGCAGCAGGGGGTGGGTCGAAATCGGGGGTAAGTATATTGAGTCGACTATATGTCCTAACAATATCAACAATAAAATCCACGGCCGCTAGGCTACAACATTGAGAAAAACTTTGACAAAAATCAATCACTCAGTCTCGTGGTGAGCAAAAAATGAGAAAAATCAGTATATTGAGTCATTTAAATAGATGAATTGGAACCGAGAGATGAGGTTAAGAGTCCTAATCGAGGCAATTCATCACCCCTTCACCTTTACATGGGGCGCAGGATTGATTGGTCATCAATAATAGTATCCTGTGAGGCTAGGATTCCCGACATTTTTGTAAATTTTGATATAAAGGATTTTGATAGGTATTTATGAATAATAAAATGATGCGACTCATCTGGTAAGCTCCAATTCAGAACTTTTATTTGCAAACAAAGAAAGGGATTTTATTTTTTACACGACAATCACTAATAACAAAATATTTTTAAAAAGTTTTTAGATCTAGAAATAGGATTTAGTAAGTATAGAGTATGAATTTACTAACATGAGTAGTATAGCGAAATACCGTATTTTGAGGATTTGATTCCTATGCCCGAGAACAATCCCCTCACTCGATACTATTATGCTATAATTTATCGTTCAAATTAGTATGTTCATCTAATCGTGAGAGATTTAGAATAGAATTCAATACAAAAGTGACAAATACAATAATAAGACACGAAAGCGAGTATCCCATCAGTCATCATATCCACAGTATATTATATGAATGATGAACACTTCTTGTCAGTTCCGTTATCGCCGCCACGTGATATGACCCAGATCAAAAGAAGCCGGGACTGGAGACTGAATAGATTGTCTCCAGCATCATCTAAGCGACGGCTTCCTTTAATCCACAGAGCACATAACTAGAGAGCAGATTAATAGTGAGGAAACGTGAGGCCCGCAATGTGGCAGAAAATTGCACCACGAGCGCGACGTGGACATTGAATTTTTATTTCCGTTTCCGGTAAATTTTGTCGCAATTTTGCCTCACCTTTTCCCACTATAAATCTGCTCTCTAGTTATGTGCTCTGTGCTTTGATCTGGGTCAAATCGCACTGAATGCGCTTCGCGGCGAAGACGTAACTATAAGATGACACGGAGAGTTCATCATTCCAAAGAGAGATAAACAAATCTTATGCATACATTAAACGAACATCATGATCAGGAACATCAGGATCACAAAACTCCAAAATGGCAATCGTGTTAGGGGCGGTAAGTTTAGGGCGTTAGCACCAATGAAGTCAAACCAACAGATAACACTGTTGTATTATAATAATACACAATGGCAGCAAGTGACAACAAATCATTAAGATAAAGATAGTTCTGTAACTATATGAACTACTCAAATTTCACATTGTTCTCTTACTTAAGAACGAAGTCGTCGCCTATTCGTTGTTTCGGTGGCAGCAATTTCATTCTCATCATCAATTTCAGATGGCGCTGATGAGACTGCTAGAGGATGACCAGCTTTTTGACGGGCAGCTAATCTACTGAAGTAACTGGTCACCTGTTTGGCTGATAACCAGCTTTCTTTCGGAAACAAAGATCTCAGTTTCTTAGAAACGTTGCTAGGAACCTCTTTCCTACCAGTGTCTACCCCACGCATGAATTCCTTCAATAAGAATTCCTTTATCTCGTCAGAAAATCTCTTGATGGTTTTAATTTGTTTCAGAGCCCAACCGGCTTTTACTTTTCTATTTGATATATGCTCGCCAGATAATCTTTGATATCTTTCCTACGGTCTTTTACCCGCTTGTGATCTTTCTCTGCAGGATACGCATCATAAATGCCACATTTTGACTCAAAATATTGAGAAAAATCGCATTTCTCCTCCATGGCAGCCATCTTGGATTTGAGGTTGGACACCAAGCTAAAATCAACCGTGTCTGTTTTGCTAGAGCGGGTGGCGGTACGTTAGAAATATTTTTCATCCGAAATGCCGTGATATATAGGGCATTTAGAGCACTTTATAAGTGTTGAGGCCTCCTAGAATCCTTTCAGTGAATATCAGTTTATTGTCAGAAATCCAAAAATCGGCAATCTTCTCATCAAAGATTCGCTATGTTGTAGACTAGCGCCGGTGGATTTTATTGTTGATTGGGTACATTTCACTATGCGAAAAGTGGTATCCAGAAAACGCCCCCCAGCTGCTAAAGACTGTGATATTGGGTCGGTCTTTCATGTTGGGTTTTTAGGGGCCGACCCCCACTATCCATCCACAATCGGACATAATCACTAACCTGATGCTTTTAGTAGAATTTGATAGCTGAAAAATGACAAATTTTCACCGAAAATTCGCCAAAAATGGCTAAAAATCGACATAGGGCCATATGTTAAAAGGGGGTTAATATTTGGGGTCGGCCATTTTGGCTTTTTGCATGTTGGGATGGGGTGACTTTATGAGCTGAGTAAGAATGAATTTGGCCGACCCCCACCTTATCACTTTTGCAGGGTTTTGCATGGTTTTCTCACGGACTGACTCTTAATTAACTGGACCCCCACTGATCAGGTAAAAAGAAATGTAACCAGCTGCTGCCAAGCAGGATACGCCCACATTTTCGAGAGATGGATAGAGAACAAGCTAACAAGAAAGTGATTTTTCCTACAATCAAGAGCCATAATTCAGGAAATTACAATTCGATATGCGTGAATATCGAAAGGAACCGAGATCATTGGGTTATAAACTTACATTTCAAGTTTCAACAAAATCGGATAAAAATTGTGACCTCTATAGGGTCCACAACCTTGATATACCATATTTTTACGCTATTTGAGAAAGAACGGCAGCCATTTTGTCTGTCAATGTTGGGCCGATTTTCACGAAATTCTAACTCAATCGTCCTTAGGGAGTAACGGTGATATAATAAAACGTTTTTTTAAATCTGATAAAAATTATAACCTCTATAGGGTCCACAAGCTAAAAACGCGATTTTTCGTACAATCAGGGGCCATAATTCAGGAAGTTAAGGTCCGGTATGCCCGAATATCGAATGGAAAGGAAATCTTTGGGTTATAAACTTATATTTCAAGTTTCAACAAAATCGGATAAAAATTGTGACCTCTTATAGTGTCCACAACCTTGATATACCATATTTTTACGCTATTTAAGAAAGAACGGCGGCCATTTTGTATGTAAATTTTGGGCCGATTTTCACGAAATTCTAACTCAGCCATCCTTAGGGTGTAACGGTGATATAATAATATGTTTTTTTAAATCGGATAAAAATTATGACCTCTATAGGGTCCACAACCTAAAAACGCGATTTTTGGTACAATCAGGGGCCATAATTCAGGAAGTAACGGTCCGATATGCGCGAATATTGAAGGGGAACCAA